TGCATGAAAAATTATAATAAGTAATTTTCTTCTCCAAGGATACATTGTAAGATATTGTATGTCAAAAAAATTCCTGGTAATATAATGTAAATAATAAGTAAGATAATATATTTTTGTACAATAACCTCAAGGGAGGCACTCATCAGAACAAGTAGTCATTTGTATGGTCTAATCTTCTACCAATTTCTACTTTTAATATGCAACTCATTTTTCCCCCACAATAAATGATACTCTTGTCAGTTTTTAATTTATATTTTTAGATGAATTTATCCAACAAGAGAGATTTAGTAGCCAATTAGCTTAGGTTCTTTCTATGCTGGCATAGGGATCACTAAAAAAAGGTCATCTGCTGTGTCTTCAATAAACCACAGTAAATGGAAGCCTCAAAACCTTTATAGTATTTTATATTTTATACAGACAGTAGTTGTGAAACTAACATTATAATGTTCTCTCCAAGAGGGAGCTAGTGAAACATTTCACTGGGAAACTCCTGTGTCAAATGTTCCATAAAACATCTGTATGACTCGCAAAACAACACACACAAATAATACTGGCAAATATTACATCAATCACACATTTTTGTGGCTCAGCTAAAAGAATGAATGGCTCATGCAGTTGACTTCTGCTTACAATATTTTTAGCATTCACAAGCAGAATGCAAGTATCGGCTATATATTATAAAAGTCAATTTTAGCAGACTAACAGATGTTTCAAAGAATAAAAAAAATGGAATATTTCACCATATTTGCATATTAATAAGTAGAGAAGCAGGCATTTTTTGTCAAACTAGACAGGATTTCCATGTCTCAGGCTTGGCAACATATTTGCATGAATCAGCATTCATGTATCTGTAGCATCCCTCATAATGTGCATTGTAGTTGAGAAAACTTTCAGAATGATTTTCTATGCGGCTCCCCCAGTAACAGGACCAACTCTTAGCGTGCAATCCCTGACCAGATAAGGCAAGTAGCATTATCTAAGTTTGAAACTAAACATATACTGAACATGAAGTGATTCTCCACCATTTTACTCAATTTTATTTCAGGGATTGCATTGCTGTGTCCCTCACACCAGTTCTTACACTAACAGAACTCCACTCACTACAGTGACAGATCTGAATCAGTGTAGCTGAGGACAGAATCATTCCTTTGAACCCCTTCCATTGAGAAATCTCTCACTCTGTAGGAGGTTCCACTAAAATCAGTAGGACTCCAGATAAAGTCAAGTACTACTTAGCGTGAATAAAGGGGGCAGAACTGGGTCCTTCTCCCAGGTAATGGATTTCCTTTAATATCCTTCAAAACAGTGAAAAACATGTCACATGTCACAGTAGAGGCTAATTCTGAATTCACCCGGACTTACAGGTATCAAAAATAATTCTCCTAATATCAATGGAGTCACAATGGTGTAAATTAGATCACAAACAAGCAAGTACATTACAGACACCTTAATGACTAGTCTGGCAATTAAAACCACTGACAATTTAACACAATGGCTTCAAATTCACACACACACACACACACACACACACACACACACACACACAGCTTTAGCAAGTGAGAATAATGTCAGAGTGCAGCTTCCTTCCTGATCAGGTCCAGATGCCTGGGTGCATCCCTCCCTCAGTGGGATGCTGCTGGCTCAGTAAGTGGAAACAGTTCCCTGTCCCTGTCAGCAGTTCCCTGGCAGCAGTGAATCCTTGCTGACTCCTTCTGCCCACTGTTTCTTTCAGAGGGACCCTGGCAGCTTGGCTGTGTGTGCATGTAGTGATGGTTGTTGTAGAGACTGCTGGATTTGATTCTGGCTGGCTAGCTTTGACTTGATGGAGGGAGTGCATGAGACGGGTGTAACAGAGAGCCGACTGGCTCCAGCTGACTTATCTGCCTGTAGTGCTCCTGGCTGGCTGGCTGGCAGGGTGCTGCTCAGATATGTGTGGAATGTGTGCTGGGGGCTGATAAGGGGATCTCTGGTTTTCTTTCCCTGCTTGATACATGTCCTGGCTCCTAGCTGGAGGGGATGGGAGTAATGGGGTCAGAGAAGGCCTCTCTTGGCACTCTAACCTACTTTGCTGTGGGCTGCCTCTGAGCAATAGTGTGGCTGTGCTTTACCTGAGTACCTGAGTCCTTTACCTGCTTATTTCCTTCACTGTCGGTGAGCTGGCTGGCTGTTTGCGGGGTGAGAGAAGATAAGGACCTTGCTTTCCTGATGTTTGCTAAGCTCACTCTGGCTGGTTGCAGGCAGTGAGTGCTGGCTGCACAGGCCAAGACAGTGGCAGGGGTGTCCCTAGCTTCCTTCTTGTGCTTGGTTCTGGGTCTGTGAGGGTGATAGAGGGGGTGTCTCAGCCTCCTTGCTGCCCTGGTGGGATGGCTCTGTGTATGCATGTGCATGCGTGCAGGGGAAGAGTGCATAGAGAGGTGAGGTAGTCAGGGGATGCCCCCAGCTCTCTTACCTGCTTGCTGTACTTGCCACTGGCTTGACAGCTGTACTCGGAGCAGTGGTCCGATCCGATGGAGATGTTGTCTCCTGCCCCCACAAAAGTGTTGGCCGGGGGCAGTTCCTGCACAGCCTGGTGCTTTTTCCCGGCGGTGGGGGACTGCGGGTGCAGCTGGACAGTAGGCAGTGGCGAGCTGGATTTGTAATGCCGGGCCAGGTCAGGGCTGCCTGGCCCACCATTGACCGAGCGGTAGCGGCCCATGCTGGGGCTGTCGGAGAGCTTCTCGTTGACACTGTCATAGCGCTGCCCATTGGGCTTGGAGGCCTCAACGGTGACGATGCTGCTGTAGAGAGGCTGCTTGCCCTTCTTTCCCTTCTTGTCCTTCTTGGGCTTCTTGGCCTTGTCATGCTGCTGTGGGGTGAAGAAGTCCTCGTGGTCCTTCTTGCCAGCCTCGTAGCCATGCTTGCCCTTGGAGCGGCAGTAGCGGGCCATGACCACCACCAGGATGAGCAGGATGACAGTCATGATGCCAGCCACGACACCGATGACTATGCTGAGGCGCTGCTTGCTCAGCTCATAGCTAGGGTCACCAGCAATGTCCTGGGCCAGGGGCGTGTGCAGGCTGCGGGCCACCTGGCTCTCCACCACGGTGGCATTGGAGAGGCTCTCGTTAACAAAGACATGAAGCAAGGCGGTGGTGGCCTGGGGTGGCTGACCACTGTCATTCACCTGAACCACGAGACGGTGGAGGCCATAGTGCTTGGGCTCCAGCTTGCCCACAAGTGACACAACACCACTGGCTGGGTCGATCTCAAAGAGCCTGAAGGGGTTGCCACCTACAATGCTGTAGTTGAGGTCAGCGTTGAGGCCAGCATCAGTGTCAGTGGCCACCACGGTGGCCACCACAGTGCGCAGGTTGCTGGAGGGTGGCAGCACAGTGTAGGAACTGTTGCTGGGGAAGGTGACGGTGGGTGCATTGTCATTCTCATCCATGACGAAGAGGGACACAGTGGCAGTGGATGAGTGGGGTGGTTCTCCGCCATCCACCGCCTTCACCCTGAAGGTGTAGCTGGTTTGCTGCTCCCGGTCGAAGGACATGGTAGAGTAGATGGTGCCCGTGTCATTCTCAATGGAGAAGATGCCAGCTGCACCGTCCTGCTCACCAGCCTGGATGGACAGGCTGAGCTCAGCGTTGCGGCCCTTGTCAGCATCCATGACAGTCACCATGCCCACAGGGCTGTTGGGTTGCAGGTTCTCCTTCACATAGAAGGTGAAGACATCTTGCATGAAGCGCGGCTCATTGTCATTGCGGTCTGCCACGCGCACCACCACAGTGGTGGAGCCCTGCAGCACCGGCACACCCTTGTCGCGGGCTGTCACCTGGAACTCATAGGTGTCACGCTGCTCACGATCCAGCACGGCCTGCACCAGCACATCCCCAGAGTCGGGGTCGATGCTGAAGAGGCCGCCAAGTGCCTCAGCTGACAGTGGCGATGGCTCCAGAGAGTAGGCGATCTCAGCGTTCTTGCCGCTGTCCGCATCTGTGGCCACCACCGTCGCCACTCGCTCACCTGGCACATTGTTCTCGGGGAAGGAGACCTCCAGCACAGCCTGGCCGAACACAGGCGGGTTGTCGTTGGTGTCGCCAACACGCACGAGCAGCGAGTTGTTGCTTGACAGGCTGGGGCTGCCTGAGTCCACGGCCACGATCACCACATGGTAGTCGCGGACGGCCTCATAGTCGAGTGGTGCAGAGGTGTGAAGGAAGTACTTGCGCTTGTTCTGCGGCTCGCCCTCACCCTCGCTGGCCGGCTTGAGCTGGAACGGCACGTCCCCCACCACAGTGCAGGTCACCACACCGTTCTCGCCCTGGTCGCGGTCAGACACCTGCACCAGTGCCACCGGCGTGTCCACCAGCACATCCTCGGCCACGCTGGCCACGCCGTCCCGCAGCGGGATGCGCCCAATCTTGCGGATGTCAATGGTGGGCACATTGTCGTTCTCATCCCGGATGTTCAGCACCACTGTGGCCTTGTCGGTCTTGGGCGGCTGGCCCCGGTCGCGGGCCATGACGGTGAAGCGGAGCTGGTTGACCTCCTCGCGGTCAATGCGGTGCAGGACGCTGAGCCAGCCCGAGGTCTCGTCCAGCCGCAGCAGGCGCCGCACTGACTCGGTGGCCGCCCCGAAGACGTACTCGATCTGCCCGTTCACCCCCACATCCAGGTCGGCGGCCCGCAGCTGCAGGATGGGCGTCCCGGGGCTGCTGTTCTCCGCCAGGTCCGCCTCGTACACGCTCTTCTCAAAGCGGGGGCTGTTGTCGTTCACGTCGGTGATGAGCACCCGCAGGATGGCCTGGGACGAGCGCGCCGG